AGATTTGTTTGGGCCAAGAAACACAAGGAATGGACATTAGACCAGTGGAAATCTGTGCTTTGGTCTGATGAGTCCAAATTTGAGATCTTTGGTTCCAACCGCCGTGTCTTTGTGAGACGCAGAAAAGGTGAACGGATAGATTCCACATGCCTGGTTCCCACTGTGAAGCATGGAGGAGGAGGTGTGATGGTGTGGGGGTGTTTTGCTGGTGACACTGTTGGGGATTTATTCAAAATTGAAGGCACACTGAACCAGCATGGCTACCACAGCATCCTGCAGCGACATGCCATCCCATCCGGTTTGCGTTTAGTTGGACGATCATTTATTTTTCAACAGGACAATGACCCCAAACACACCTCCAGGCTGTGTAAGGGCTATTTGACCAAGAAGGAGAGTGATGGAGTGCTGCGGCAGATGACCTGGCCTCCACAGTCACCGGACCTGAACCCAATCGAGATGGTTTGGGGTGAGCTGGACCACAGAGTGAAGGCAAAGGGGCCAACAAGTGCTAAACACCTCTGGGAACTCCTTCAAGACTGTTGGAAAACCATTTCAGGTGACTACCTCTTGAAGGTCATCGAGAGAATGCCAAGAGTGTGCAAAGCAGTAATCAGAGCAAAGGGTGGCTATTTTGAAGAAACTAGAATATAAAACATGTTTTCAGTTATTTCACCTTTTTTTGTTAAGTACATAACTCCACATGTGTTCATTCATAGTTTTGATGCCTTCAGTGAGAATCTACAATGTAAATAGTCATGAAAATAAAGAAAATGCATTGAATGAGAAGGTGTGTCCAAACTTTTGGCCTGTACTGTACATGTCTCAATAGTGAAAAATCAAGGGTTCTTTTTAACTCTAGGATTTTGTTTTCAACTTCATTCAGCAAAGAATACAATAAAAGGATAGGATAAAATATAATAATGGCCGCCGTGCCCGGTTACTGATATTATTCTGGCTGCTGCTGCCACAGTTGTGTGTGTTACACTAAGATTTATTTTGAAAAATGGTCGCTATACACATGTTGCTAATGCCTGTGGTGTGTGCGCTATGATGTAAGTGTATGTGCCTTTGTAAGCTTATTAAATGTTGGTTTTGTTTGGTAGGACTAATGACAGGTGGCTGTCATGCACCCATATTCTGCTGAAGTGCACAGACAGCTTGTGCGATGATGCAGTTTGAAAGGAGGATTTGCATTTTGCATAATAAATTAACTGTTTCTTTTGGTGATGACTCTCCCTCCCTCCTTGCTGTATATTTGGTGTAAACAGAAAAAATATGGTTATTGATGGGGGAAGGAGGGCCGTGCTTTTTCCTCAAGTCACTCAGGGAGGCTCAAGGAAAAACATTTGTAGCTCAGAGAGTCACACCCCAGCCACCTCACTCCTCTGAAAAACAACAAACACTCCCTGAGTATTTGTTCATCCCAGACACGTCTCCCTTGTTTATGAAATGACTTTGTTTGACATCTCACCTGGAGCAGAGAGGAGCGCTTGAAGGCTTTGCCACAGTCCTGACATTTGTAAGGCTTCTCCCCTGAGTGAGACCTGCGAAAGGAAAGTAACAATTCAGGAAGACAGCACCATTGATGATATATATGTTATCACAGGTGTGACACATGATATAGAAATACACTACAGCACTTTCTGCTTTGATATGTTGTACAGACTGGCACCAGCTGTTCTTATTAAAGGAATGGATTATGGATTTTAGATATAGTCCACACACTACATTCCCATTCTCCCATTCACTTCAATACATTAAGTATTAACAGCTTCAGGACACTATTGTTAGAGTGTTACAGTTATAAGGGTGGTAAAGAGGATGGTGTTATGGGTACCGTTGGTGGTAGAGCAGAGCAGAGGAGCCCTTGAAGGCCTTGGGGCAGAGGGTGCAGCGGTACGGTCTCTCATTGTTGTGACTCCGCTGGTGGTGGGTCAGCCTGGACGACCACCTGAAGCTCTTCCCACAGTCCATACACTGGAAGGGATGGTCCGACTGGTCGGGCTGCTGAGGCGGGCCCGACACGGACGACGTCACCATGTCCAGAACCACCTCCTCCCCACCCTCTACTACCTCCTTATCCCCCTCCACCAGCTCCCCTCTGTCCCTCTCGTCCTCGCCATCCTCTCCCGAACCAAGAAGGGACGGGAAGGGAGAGAGGGAGGCGGTGGACTGAGGCGGTAAGAGTTCTGCTTGGACCACTAAGGCCACTGAGTTAGCCATCACCAGAGCAAGCTGGGTAGCAGATGAGGGTGTTACCTTGGCAGCTGGATCAGTTTTGGTGCAGGATCATGGTTTTTTCTTTCACCTTTCCTTCATTCATGTTTTCTTTCATAAATTCTTTCCCTCTCAGCCACTGGAAACACCAGCTGTCATCCCAAAGTAGACAGCTCAGGACAGCTCTGACATAAAGTGAAATGGAAATAAATACAGTGTTATAACTTGGTAACTCCTGGTGAGCGTGCCCCCTTTAAATTCCACCCCCGCCCTCCCTCTCTGTCTGAGGCTCGTCCCCCCTCCCTGCTGTCTTTCCTCTGGCAGACAGTCCGTTTCTGTCTGTCCCCGCAGTGCGGTGCCTGCTAGCAATACACACACAGTGGCTACAGCTAGGTTACACACCAAGCTACTGTACAACTGTATCTTACTGTAACCGGTCAGCTGTGCAAGCCGACAGACAACCTACAGACACAATATCAGTTTTCACAGTATCAACACAAACAGCTACTGGCCTTCATTTAAAGCTAATCTAGCCTCCGTCAGTGCGGAATAGCGTCGTTAAACTGCTCGATAAGGATGTGCATGAATACAGGCTGTAGCGGTACTCACCGGACATCTTTAACTCATCTTAAAGCTATAATGTTGATATTATGAAAAGGAACTGGGTACCGCAGTGCTAATCCACACAACCTTAACAATAAACACAGCGCAGACTAACTGCAGTTCTCCACCCGATGCCGCCTTCTAAGAACGGCGACTGCGATTGGCTGCCTGCTGCAATAGACGCGCTACTCCCATTGGTTGAGGGCTTCAACAGACAGATTGACGTCTTAAAATTTGTCTTTAAAATATTTTTAACGTCCAAATTTGACGGAAATTACTTACCAGTGTCGTTTTTACACTTCTATACCTTCAAAAATATTTTTTAAAAATGTATTCAAAACTAATATGTATCCGTTCTATTCTGACTCTGACGCACAGACTTCTGGGTAATGTAGTAGCGGTGTGTGTCTGCCCAAACTACCATCTGTCACAGTTTAAACCGCAGGCTAGCAGTGCTTGGGGGTAAGTAAATAGCCTATATTTAATTAAATGACAAAATAAATGTAGGTAATTGTAATAAGTTGGGCTTACTGAGAAAAAAATATGTTATTAAATGGCAGTTACTAATCAAATATGGTGGTGATAAAGGTGTTATATAGTAAAAGGTTTATACGTAGAATATAACTTCATTTTGTTGCTTTGTATGTTTGCACCATGCAGGAATGGCATCTTTTGGCGTAGCCTATTTTTAAAGCTTTTTGTCCAGTTGAAAACATTTGTTAGAAAAGTTATTATAAACTAATCAGATGTAATAAGTGACATTACTTTGAGAATTAATAAAATTAGGTATGTTACGTATTACATTTCAAAAGTAACCTTAATTGCTTTACAAAATCTTTTGTCCCCTTGTCCATTAAAGTCTTAAATGGGAAGCTAACTGTATCTTAACCATACACTATGCATGTGTAGGTATGTGTGTGTGTATCTGTGTATGTAAAACTATGTAAAACAGATGTATGGTGCAATGGGCAGTGTGCAGTTTGATGGCTGATGGCAGTCTGTTGGATTGTGAATAGCGACAGTGCTGTGTTTGGACTGTACAGATGTAGGAACTGTATGTACAATTTTTTTGTATCTTTTAACAGCAGGTACTGCATGTATCCAAGACAAATTTTCTTCGGGACAACACAGTCTATCTTATCTTATCTTGAACAGCGCAAGTTAGGTTATTAAAGATATACTCAAATCCATTGTGCACATTCTTTAGTATTTATTTCACCAAGGCACATATTTCACATTGAGGCCAATCAGTGTGTGGAAGAGGCATCTTGATGTTACAACAATAATTTAAACAGGATGGTGTAATAATAATAATAATAATAATTATAGTAAATAAGAATAAAAATTGTATAAAAGTACAAAAAGATAGGAGACTTGCTCCACTGCAGCACAAAATAAATAGTTCCACCAAGTTACTTAAATAAATAGTCAATACTGTAACAAATACTAGAATAAGAATGAACCAAAAAATAATAGTGATAAAGTTGGTAAAGTAATCTACATTATATTGTAGAAAACAACATAATACACAAAGCACTGTATACAACAAATTTACATTCTTGTACACTTATGTACACCTGTACAGAACATAGTGTCACAATACATAGTATTTTAAGGCTTTGGGTGTTTAACCAACAACAACAAACTTTTCTACCCCCAAAGCACAGGTTCAAAATCAGCCATCTCACTCATCCAAGAGGCTAATCCTAACAAGTTTGTGCAAAGAATCTAATCAGGTCCATCAGTGCTCAGCAACAGGGCACATTCATACAACTTTACCACAACGTTAAATATGCCTCCTCATGCAGAACGTGAGAAACAGGCAACGACACCAGAGACTCTGCCTGCGGTACAAAGAAAGTATTCACTTCTCGTCGGCTACCATTTTGACATTTTCAGATAAATTAATTTCTATTGAATCATTAAGACGTGGCACGTTTAACACGGTTAGAAGACGACATTAACTTCTTCTAACTTTAATGGCACTGTAAGTGAGAGATAGTGAAACCCTTGGCTGTCCCATATGTATGCTACATCTACTGGAAGAATTATAGGCTGAAGAAATGCACAAAGTAGATTAAATCAAACAAAAGTCAGGAAGTGCTACTGTGTTTTTTTTTTTTTCTTGAGGAATCAGTGAGAGACAAGACAAAAAAGAAAGATTACAGAGACGTGGGCAATTAAATTCACGTTAAAACAGAAAAATAAAGATGAGAGTGACACATTACAACTTCAAATAAATAAAATTAAATAAATTACCAACAGTTAATAAATAAATAAATACATAAATAACATGAACAAGGCCTTTAGGAGAGAGTTTTGGGGATCGTGACATCGTAGTTGAACTGGCAGGAGTCTTGATGGTTGTGACTGGCTGCAGTGTATCGCGCATCCTTATTGGCTCTGATGGAAAAACATTCTTCAACACAGAAGTCATTGGTTGATGTTTGGGCCTCTTAAGGGATGCTATTAACTACGGTGCACACTGACGCGGTCCTAATTCCCCTTTGGCTGAGGCGGTACTCTGTGTGTCCTCACCGACTCTGCAGCCATGTGGTTGAAAGGAGAAGAACGAATGGATCGTCATTGCACTGCAGAGACTTTGGGCTTGAGGCTGATGAATGCTCTGTACGCCCAGTCACAGAAGAGCTTGAAGTGTTGAAGAAGCTCGTGGCTGGATTGCAAGACGTCAAACTGATAGGGGAGGTGAGGGGGGAGGGAGGGGGTCGCCTGAGTCAGCCTCGGTGCTTCAACTCTCAACATCTGTAGGAGAGAAGACAAACAGATTAGAAAAACAGGCGATCATAGAGAACATTTAAAGGTCCGATTTGGAGGATTTAGTGGCATCTTGCAGTGAGGTTGCGGAACTGAAACGTCTGCTGCGTGCCAAGTGCGTATGAGAGCTACAGGGGCTGATGCAAAAACTAGAGCCAGAGTTTGATTTGTCACACACTGGCTCTAGATAGGAGATGTCAAACATGTGGGAGAGGAGCTGCTTCATTTGATATAAACGGCTCATTCTGAGGTAAGGGAAACACAATGATTCTTATTTTCGGGTGATTATACATTAATGAAAACATAGTTATGAAATGAAACACCATTTCCGCAAATAGATGCCCTTAAATTCTCTGCATTGGACCTTTCAAAGTGTTAGCAAACTGCTAGAACATGGCACAATCTCCTGTTAAAACTTACATAGTTAGATATAAAATCAAACACCGAAGACGACTGAGATTAAAAAGGGGGAATATCGGTTCGTTACCTGACGGTGCAGCAGATTGATGAGAGATTTCATTTCTCTGATCATCTCCACCAGCTTTGGCAGTGCAGGGTGGTGGTGCTTCTTTGAAACCTTGTTGAGCCACTCAAAGTGGTGCTCATACAGCTTCAGGTCAGCGTGCAGCTGAGAGAGTGTGGGCTTCAGCTGGAAACAACACAGACATACTTAGAGACTTAGCATGGGTGTGGCAACGTGTAACTGTGTTCAGACAAGCCCCCTCTCCCTTCGTGAGCACGCACGCACACACTCAGTGTCACACACAAATACATTATCAGAGCATTACCTCAAGATTGTTGAGGTCATTGGCTGATCTGTTGCTCATTTCTGGCAGAGAGCTGAACCTGTGGGGCTCCACGTCTGAGGCAAATGCATGCTCCCTCTGAAAGAGAAAACGAGACACAGAGCAGCCCGTTAGTAATTTGCATCAGCGCAATTTTACTCATCCTGAGACAAGTCACGGCAGCATGAGGAAAGTATTAGTGTAGCACCTCGATTGGATGACTGTTTTCTGTGCTTAGAGACAGTAGCTCTCACTGAGGGGAGTGTGGTTGATTGGGTCAGTGTGAGTTCACCCACATTCAGCCTCCCCAAATGTCAACAATAAGAGCGAATGACCTGAACCCACAGGATGTTTTCTACAGGGAGCGAGGATAACAACATATGCAGTGACTAAGAAAGCTCCAAGTGGGACAGACAACACAGGGCTGTAGGGAAACTCCAGGGTCACAGCTATAAAAAGAGGGAATGACGCAGTACCACTGCCCAGCTAGAGTTGTGTTGTAAACTCTGTCCAGGCAGTGGATGAAGTGCTCACTGTGGCCACCAGAGGGGGATAAACACCCTGACTGCAGGTTTACAGAGCTCCACCTTACAAAGGCAGCTGTGCTCATCAGTAGTACAATTCAGTATTAAACATGATTCAGTAATGAATGGGGAGAAATGGAGATGACTGATGTGGCATGCGTCACTTCCAATCAGTGGAGGAACATAACAACATTAGGATGATGAGTGCTGAGAAATGTTTTGTGTAAACAGGTAGTGTGTGCTTAATGCTTCCTTAACCTGTTACACAGTGTGTTCCTCGCTCCACTGAGTTGTTTGTGTTGATGTTTTCGGTGATGAATGTGCCGCTTTGTCTCGCATGTCTCTCCATCAGCCTTTCGTAAGAGCTCACTTATGTTTGTGTTCCAATGTTTTGTCTCTGTCGCTTTTGTCCCCCCTTCCATCCCTCGCTTCCCTACCTTCTCCCCCTCTCCCTCTCTGCCTCGCCGTGTCTCATAACCAGGTGCACAAGCACGTGCAACATCCCGCGCACATGTGCATGCATGCACACACATATACCGCTGGCTTGTCATCTATTTGGCTCTCTGATCTCTTCATCTCTTGTGGTTTTTTTGCTCCATCTTTCTCAGCCTTTAATTCTCCCTCTTATCCTCCTCTTCTTGCTCTCTCCATCACAGATCATGACCTCACCCGACAGAACTTAGCATCCAACCTCTTTCTTCCTGAATGCAAATACTGGAATGTGATAAATCTTTTTTTTTGATTTTTATCAAGTCACTTTGCTGTGGCGACCGAAAGCAAAACACTAAACACCGCACCTACACAACCGGGACTATTTACAGAACCCTCAATGCACACACACACATAGCCACAAAAATCCATACACACAAATGCATGCACACATGTACACACTTGCACCCATACAATATGCATGCAAACACACACAGACTCGCTCACACAGACACACACTGTGCATCGGAAAACTTCTATAGACTTATGTGCACACACACACACACACACATAGAGACATTTCTCTCCCTTTAAAGCATCAGTTTCATTGCTTTTTTGCAGGGACTTTCCACCGATTCCCGTTCTATTTATCTTTCCTAACTTTGTCCTCTCTTTAGTGGAATGCCACACAATAAGGAAAGAAATTTAAAATAAATCTTCCATGTTACTGAACACTGTCTAATACTGTCCCCATCACCCTTTGATGATACTGGTTTGCTCACATCTGGACCCCAGGTTACAGACTACTGCTACACAATGGCCTGTAACACACACACATACAGCACACACACACTTTCTGAACCCTATCTACCGGCCAAGACTAGAGAGAGTATGTGGCTATTTTTGATTTTATCCCCTGAACAAAAGAGTCGAAAGATTTGCATGATGCAAAAATAGACTCTTGATCAGTCGTGTGTAACCAGAGATCCGCAGATATGATCCCGCTTTCTTTTCACCTGTTAAAACACGGTGTTGATACACAATCACCAGCTGGAGCCAAAACTTGGCCGAGTTCTCACATCTGATTTTCCTACCTCGCTTGTCACTGTCAACAAAATAAGATTTCGAGCCAGCGTTGTCAGAACGGTGCACATTTCACAGGGGGAAAAAAAAAAAAGAAAACTCCATCCTCACTTCCACAGTCTAGCCGCAGAACATAAACATGTTTCTATGTAAACAAGCGTGTGATATACTTTGCTGTCATGTCACAGATGGTATGCTCAGCACTTTGGCTTTAGTCGCAGGTACAGTGTTGAGATGTAGTCCTAGACTTTACGTTTGCTTTCTCTGTCCCTTTAACCACCATCACTGTAAATGATTATTCCTCTTAATGCCATAACACTTAATATTAACTTCATTTCACCTTTGTTGGACTGGATAAAAGAGCTGTACAGGCCACCAATCTTCCTGGTACTGCCACCAGTCAGGTGACCAGGCAGACCAGGAGGTTGCTGAGTCAGACCTCCCCAACCTACTGAATCCAGTGTGGATTAAAAGTGAGATCACTCAGTCAAATCTCCCCTGAGGCTTTTTGCTGCCCTGATCTAAAGCATGCAGCCAGTCTGTCATCACTGAAAGCGGCTTAAGCCAAGCGGAAGTCCTGAGCAAACCCTAGTAAAGTTTCCACAACAGTGCATGTTGCAAAGTTGGTGCTGTTACCTAAACTGAAAAGGTGACATAGAAAATCCAATTAGGGAAAGATCAATCAAGACAGCATCCTCATCCACATCCACTCTCATTCAATTAGCACAGGGGGGCTCATTAGCCCTCTCCTCCAATCAATGGCTGTGATGGCTGCAATCACCATGACATCATGTGCACTTACCAGCAGTTCTTGGGTGAGCTTCATTAGATTTTTGGTCTGATTGGACAGTTTATCCATGTCAGTGGGCCGCCGCTGCGGTACCGGGGAGGCAGACGTGAAGACAGGCAGCTGGGCCAATAGCAGCGAGAAGAGGAGCGACGAGGAGGAGTCGAGCAGCACTGTAAAGAGGGGGGGACAAACAAAACGGAAGCAATTAGTGGAGAGGCGCTGTCATCTCGCCATAATGATAATGACCTCAGGCCACGGCTGTCAGCTCCAGGGGAAGATATTGCACCATAATATAAACAATAGCTCCAGACTTGGCGGAGGAATCCTCAAGAGCTTCAGTGTCAGAGTCATGTTTTCACAGGCTGAATGCAAATCATTAAATCATTAAAATAAAAAAAAAGCTTTGACACTGAATATGACCATCACTCCTTCACCATAAGCAACTGCAATGAATGCTGCTGATTGTCACACCTGCAACTGGATAGGTACGTGAGTTGGTGGTATAAATTATAAAGAGCCAGCCAAGTCAACTCTTGTAACAGTAGGCTCATTCATTCTTTGCCTTTCAAGTTCAAATACAAGGTAGACTAAGTATTAAAAGGGAACCGCAGTGGTGTTGAAATGATGAATGCTTGATAATTACAGGTGAACCACAAGAATCAGAGCCAAAATAACACTGCAGGAGCATCTGAGCTCTCTGACCTAGTGTAACTCCTCAAGAGGCAGGATAAAGTTGCCCTAAATTACATTTTTTAAAAGTTTAATCTAAGGATAAATTGTTAAATTAAGCATAAAATAGCTGTTCACATTCACATAGAGCAAAACTGTGTAAGAGCATAACCATCCAAAGCAAAACACACTTACATTTCATATTTGGTTCGGATCCAAGGGGGGTTGGTAACCCAGCAAGGCAACGGTAGATAAATAAATAAATAGACAAAATTAATAAATAAATTGAACTCCGGAAATTGTCACGTGCTCCGGTTTCTTCTTCGCACTCTCTTCAGCAGTCAGAGTGAGGAGGAAAGTTGTCAGGACGAGACAGAGGATGAATGAGAGAGCAGAGTGATGACTGAAGCACTCAGAGAGACGGAGAGAGTGGAGAAAAGGAAGGTAAAAATAAAAATAGAAAAAAGGAGAAAAGTAATCAAACTTTCTGTCTTGGGTAAAGTTTGAGATGTAGTCTTATGGAGTTGCTGAAGGAGGCAGAGAGACACTTAGACAGTTTGGAGAGACAGAGAGGCAACAGAAGTGCAGAGAGAGGGATGCGAGTGTGGTAAGTCCAATTTTTGCGCGCAGTGAAGTGTTTAGGCTTGTTTAAAACTTCCTTTATAAAGACGTCGGGCCTATGACACATCGGCAGTGACTCACTTCATTCATAAAAACACACACACACACACAGACACACGCTCTCTCTCTCTCTCTCTCTCCCTCTCTCTCCTCACTCCCTCTCTCCGTCTCTTTCCTCCTCCCCTCCCTGCACCCTGTCTCCCTTTGCGAAACTTAAAAAAAAATGTTCCGTTGTTTTTTTTCTGTTTTTTTTCTTTCCTCTATCACTTTCTCCCGTCCTGTCCTGTCCCTATCTCCAGCACTTCCTCCGTCGCATCCCGCTACCTGCGCCAATCATTCCCATCTACCTCCTTTTTTTATCTTTCCATCTCCAAATCTCTTCCCCCCTCTCTCCTCTCTATCACTGCAGACGTTTAAAAAGCCCATTGTTTTCACGTGTATCAGCATATCTTATGTAACCATGTATCATTTAGAGCCCTTCTTGTGATGTTGTGTGCTGCGTTCGGGTGTGTGTGTGTGTCGGGGGGGGGGTTGAAGTGTCACAGAAAGTGTGTGTTGTTGAATTTATGGCAGGGCTCTTTTAGGCTACACACGCCACATTCCCTGTATTATAGCTAATACGCACAGCAAACACCTTTTCTCTCCCATATTTCTCTCCCTCCTTTTCTCACCCCTTGCTCTCTCTCTTTTTTTCAGAGCCCCTCCTGAGACAGCAGCCTGTTATTTCCACTGCCCCCCCACCCACCTCCTTCTCTTTTTTTTCACTCCTTCTCTCCCTCTCCAGGGTGAAGGAAAGAGTGAGGAGTGAGAGACGGATAGGAGCAGGGGAGAGGTGTTGTCCAGACCAGAAGGGGCCTCTGAAAGTGTTGCATAGAAACAGTGAGCGGACACACACACACACATATATATACACACACACACCACAGGACATTAACGTGGGGTCAACACAGCAGATGCACACAAACATGCACATGGATGCACGCGCACGCCATGCGCTGTGTCATAGAAAAACATGCTGCTCTAGTAAAGCAAAACACACACACTTTTTAAAAACACTCGCTCTCGCTCTGATAGGCCACATGCAGAAACATAACAGGCTACTGTACACACATCAGCACACACGTAGCGTGGAGCAGCCTGGAAACACTCAGTCAGGTGCAGTAAAGTGTGGCCTACTGTTGCAAAGGGCAAGAATGAGTTTCCCAAACATCACAGGGGGACAGCTGATGCATCACACTGTACATACACTGTATATCACTATGGGTTCAATAGGTGCGTTTCAATCCACCTGTGAGAAACTGAGTGGACACCAAATTCAACAAACGGCAAGACAGATGGAAACATCTGATCCGTGTGGAGCGATGAGGAGACTGTAACCCCTCTCAAATAATACATGAAACAAACTTAAATGCCATATTTCCGCCATGTTTTATTACAGTTTTTCCCACCATTTGAGGTTTGATTGATGCGCCTTCTTCTTCTGTTTGCATCCTTCCTTTAAACATTTGAACCCCAGAACGGTTCTGCTCTCTGGCATACCAGCCTTTTGCCAGTTTATGGCTATTAAAAAGATGCCATACGTGGACATGGACAAGTTGCAGTCAGTCTGTCCGTTCACACCTGTCATTAGAACGTGACACCACATGTGTCTTGAGTGACCACTTCTGATTGGATCTCACCGTCCCTGCTCTATATGCAAATGAACACATACATAATTTCAGTTTGCAAAGGCCAAATGCGTTGTTGTTTTTAACCAGAGTTAGGTTTGTCCTGCGATACCCTCACAGGTGAGAGTTCACCTGCCCACACACAGTGACAGGGCTAACTGTTAGCGCCACTAGGCTGTTACATGTTGGTGAAGATTCTCAGTCATCCACGTCATCGTTATCGTAAATGCTATATTGGAGGCAACTGGACTTGCTTGAGTTTCTTGAAGACATTTCACCTTACATCCAAGACGGATAGAACTGGAGAGGCCCCATGGATGTAAGGTGAAAGGTCTTTAAGAAACTCAAGCAAGTCCAGTTGCCTACAATGTAGCATACAGGACTGGTTATGCATGACAGAGCCAAGCAATTTGGGCGTTGGTCTGAGTTCACTGGGACTCTTTAACAGCTGTTGCTGTGTTAGCTCGTGCTAACTGGACAGACGTTGAACTGATTATTCAACGGGAGGAGAGAGGCTTCAGGGATGGTCCATCAACGGTTTGTCTACTGACAGGAAGTCCAGGATGTAGGCTGAGTTGTAGGGCTGGGTATGGGTACTCAATACCTTTAAGGTATTGACCGAAATAACTCGGAACCAAGTAGTATTGAAACATCTCCAGTCAAACGATACCTGCATTCAGTCATTCTTGCACCAGTGGTCTGATCCCAGACCATCTTGTCTGCCCGCCTGATCAGCAGACTTCCTGTTATAGCCATCTCCAGAGTCTCTACTGTCCCGGTTTCTTTAGTCATGTGATGTCTCAAACTAAATTCAACAAAATATCAATGTGTAACAACATGGGTTGTTTTAAGAGAATAAAGTGAGATATTGTGGCAGTATACGTAATACATATTGTGCCGTAATCCTCTGGTGCCAATATGTAAGTGTCGTAACGCACTTTCTCTAGGGACTGAAGCAAATAAAAGCCCACACTTAATTTTTACGGTATACACGCCACTCCATTTACAGTATGGGTATCGTTTTGGTATACTGGTATTATAATTTTTTAAACAATACCCAGCCCTACTACATAAAGTGTAGCCCAGGACTCATTAGCGTACAAACTGATGAAAGAATGTTGCCAGAGGCAGCCCAGACCACCTCTGAATGTGGTCCCAGTGATCAGATCTCAAGTTGCATTGAGGACTCATTGGGTGCAGTCACACCTGTGATTAGAGCTGTCCACTTGTGATCTGATCACCCAGGACGCATGTTAATACCAGGTGTAAACGGTGCCTAAGAATTTTTGCACTTTGTTGTGCAATGTTTCATCTCAGTTGTCTAATTCTTTGAAAGTGCCACAATGCAGTGATTAAATATTTGATTCCTGCCTTTTGCCTATGTAGAAGTATTTTTTCCTTTGTCAGTTACATAGATATCACCATGTAATCCACATGATTGTCTTGCAGTGTATCCCTGTATTGTGATGACACCATCATCGAGGGCGACGTATTGTGATAGTATCCTGAGTTACTCTGTGATTCCCATTCCTGATTCTCACAACAGTAGCGGATGAAAATGGGCACATATTCACTTGTTCTTTTGCCGATTTCCAGAAAATTTGGTGAAAATTTGTGCCACAGTTGGACAGAAACCTGACTACATGCACAGACACACGCGAGGGAGGAGAGAGGGCACGAGAGAGATCAGGGAGAGGGAAGAAAGCGTTTTTGAGTCTGGGTGTGAGATTAGGAGACCCTCATTCACAGACATACACTCATGGTGTGGTTTGAAAATAATTAGTGGTGGGCCTTGTATGCGCACAGTCGCACACTCATGCACACATTCACACAGAGTTGCCAGTCCGGTGGTGGGCCTACACAGACAAACAAACACCCTCCGAATGATGAGGGCCTGGTGGCAGCGAGTGGGTGGCGCAGTTGTTGTGGTGAAAAGGGGTCATACTCTGTTTTCTCGGGTCAACGGTAGAGAAGAAAAGCAGGAGAAGGAGGAGAGCCACAGAGGAAATAGATGAGTGAGGTCGGACGTAGGGAGATATTGACACACTCGCTCTTTTTAATTTCCCACATCAAAGGGCCGTTTGAAGACACAGCTGGGGAGAGAAGAAAAGAAAAAGTGAAGTTAGTCACTCTCCCTCATTCCCTCTCTGGGCTGCCTCTCATGATGGGGGTCTCCTGGGTGGTTCTGAAGCACACAGTCTTCTGTTAGGCCATCCGCCAGCGCTGATCACTCACACACCATGACACCGGGTGGGTGCCCTTTAAGTGTGTGTGTCTGTGGGAATGTGTGCGCACACGTGCGTAGATGTCAGCGTGTGAAATGAAGAAAGGGTTCTGTATCTTTGTTTGGACTTTTGTTTTCGAGTGTGAGAGAGCGAGCACACTGCCTGTTGGAAAAGGGGGAATCCAGGGTTTGTGTAAATGGGTGTGCGTAGAGTATATGTGTGTAATTATGGGTATGTGGTGGTATAAGTGCGGCGTCTGTATAACGTGCATGAGCATCAGTGTTTGTGTGTGCGTCTGTGTGTTTGTGTGTGGCCTTCATATGCTACCCATTACATCACCAATCTGTGTAAACCACCATAGGAGGAGAAACAGAGTGAGACACTCAGACTACGACCTCAAAGACATCAGAGGGGAAGGGGAACCTGTGACAGGGCCTGCCAGGCCTCGCTGCCAGACAAACTTTACTCACACAAGCTTCACTGAATTCGGTCATGCTTTACACTAGGTTTCCTGTGCGCCATGGCATGTATTCACACATTATTACGCAGGCTTCAAATCATTTGAATGCCTCACACTCTTTGCTCACCTTTTGCCTGGCTGTTAATCCACACAGTTGCTTGATTCATTCGTTCTCCAGAGTCACTCTAAAAACTTTGATTTAAAGGTACTGTATGTAACCTTTAATGTATAAAGCCTTCCTTAATGCCAATGGGTGAACAGATTGTGACGTAACTTAAAAACTGAGACCTTCCCCAACTTTCTCGGTTGCCTATAGCAACCTGTGGACTGACTTCTATGAAAAGCTCAGGCTGAATTTTCCTGGAAAATCCAACAGATTGATGACACTTAACGAAGAAATCCCTTTCTGGCAGAAAGCCCTCAAGGCACTGTTCTCTCAACAGCGTGCTGCATCTCTTCAGCTCTGCTACAGTGCAGCAGTGTGCAACGGTAGCCTGTTGCCAG